TCATCATCATCATCATCATCATCATCATCATCATCATCATCATCATCATCATCGTCATCGTCATCGTCATCATCATCATCATCATCATCATCATCCCCCCGTTTGTTGGTATAATACTTTTAATTTTACCTTTTCCTTTACTTTTCCGATCCAGCGGCCATATGAGTTCTCGCCCTCCGGCCTATACTATACTTTCTAAAAATACAACAAAATCCGTATTTTGTAAAACAGTAAATTGTATTGTGCAAGTAGCTATCTCAGAATTACTAAGTTCTATCTGACATCTTTAGCTGCTTTGAGTTACTAAGACCATTAGGTCAGAAACCAAATGTTCTATATGATCTATCAAAATCGTAAGATTATTCGGAGTTGAGTCGATATCAAGAGATTTTCAAAAATTGCATTCGAAACAGCTTGACATGATGTGAAACTCAAAATCTTTGACGTCGAATTTCTCAAAACTAGGTAATGAGCAAATAGAACGTAGTAATTCTGATATAGCGGTGTTTATATACAAAATATATTACTAGATCTATTATTACATTTCTTTTGGAATGTCTTATTATTACCTTTTTTAACCACATCCCCCGGGGCGGTGCTACTGACTGAAGTGTCTTTAAGCCATTCCCCAAAGGGGGGACATTAACATGTTCTTGTGCAGAGTAGACTTGTAAATGGGCTAATTCATCAATGTCATGCTCACAACAGTGCCTGAACTGCAACAGGGAACTGCTGCTTTTTCTTTCCTAGTCCTTACTATGGTCATTTTTCCTCTACTTGTTTTGTATGTTTGTCACACTCTTGTGACCCGCTATTTCCGGGGTGCCTTGATGTACTGTTGAAGCTAGAGGGGTGAGCAGAGTAAGCCTGATTCCCCGTAAGAACTTGTTTTTTGACATCCACCCCTTGGCGCTCAGATGAACTTATGCAGTTGTGAGTGTTTGTATGTCTCAGGTAATGACAGGAGGTGGGGGAAATGCGAGAGAGAGAGAGAGAGAGAGAGAGAGAGAGAGAGAGAGAGAGGCAGTGAAGTAGAGAAAAGGAGAAAGCTGATGGACGGATAAATACACAGATAATAAATCTGATTATTGGATTATCTTCTCTTTTTAAAACAAACAACTTTTTGACCACTAGGATTCACTCAAGGTTTTCGGGCGCGCTCCCGCGCCATCCTGACCCGGCCTGCCCCTGGCAACGCGGCCTGTAACGGCACTCTGTGGGAGGACCAGCAGTGCACCACCAGGACGTGTACCTGGTTCACATGGAAGACCGGGGAATGGGACTACTTTCACCTGCAGAGGAATGTCTGGTGTGAGCAGAACAACGGTCTACACGTTGTGGGTGAGTGTTTGATTGATCATTTATTTCTCTTGTCGTTTTATTTTGTAGCTGTCTGTGTTATGTCTGTAAGTGAGTTTGTGTTGTTTTTGTTCGGGCTTTTCGTTCTGTTGTTGTTCTTGTGTTGTTTCATTTTTTTTTCTTTGTTGTTGTTGTTACTGTTCTTTTTGTTAGAATTGTGGTTGCGGTTTTTATTCCTGTTTTCTGTTGTTGTTATTATTGATGTTTTGTTATTGGTATCTCATTAGTGTGATTGTTTGTTTGTTTGGTTGGTTTGGGTTTTTTTAGGAGGGCGGGGGTTGCTGTTGCTGTTGTTGTTGTTGTTGTTGTCGTAATATTTAAAGTAAAGTATGATAACAAGCGGTATTTTGTTGTCTTTGTTTCTGTTACTGTTACTATCGCTATTCCTGTTGTTACTGTTGATAATGCTTGTAATATGACTGAAGAGAATATGTCTTACATGCTACTGTTGCAGTCATGTGAGTCTTAGGATTGAAAGGGTATACATGTATGAACCAAAGCTTTCCTTGCAACGTTTTGGGGTGATTTCCCCCCCCCCCCCATTTCATTAGTCTTTTCCGCAAGCGCTTATGTATCTTCTTTCTTTTTGGATTAAGCATTTCCTGCATATCTCTTCAGTCCACATTGGCTGGCCCGCTAAATTGTTAAAATAGTAAGACACTGTGTCCTATAAAAATCAATTTTATAATCAACCCTGTACAGGCTCCTTAAATGTACCAGAGATTGAGATGTTAGCTCAAGTCGAATCATGCTTGACAAACGATGCGAAGGACTGCGGTTCGAAATACTCTCTGAGGGTCCTTGAAAGTAAGATAGTTTTGTGGGATTTTCAAGACTCTCCCTAAGTTTGCTCGGTCTTATCGGTGATGGACGTTTTCTCAAAAGGCCCGACTTTCAGACAACAGCTCAGCCTTGAAATGGCGTAAACAAATCGATACCTTAAAATTGCAATTTTCTATCTGACATTCGAAAAGGCTTGACATGTTGTGAAACTCAACTTTTTAAACCTCAAATTTCTCAAAACTAGGTACTGAGCCCATTAAAATGTGTAATTTTGGGGTAGGGAAATACCGTTATGTAATGCAGCCAGACATGTTAACACAAATGTTCTCGGAGCACTAGACCTATACTATGCGTGGGCTAGATCATGGTATGAATAAAGCATGATCATAAGTAGCATTGGTGGGTGTAACGGACCATTTAGTCAAAGTGTGTGTGTCTGGCCTGTGAACGGCGAACGTTTCTGGTGGGCTGACCTAGTTGAGAAGAGATGAGAGAGAGAGAGAGAGAGAGAGAGAGAGAGAGAGAGAGAGTGAGAGAGAAAGAGTGAGTGAGAGAGAGGGAAAGAGAGAGAGAGAGAGAGGGAGAGAGAGAGACAGACAGAGAGAAAGACAGACAGACAGACAGACAGACAGACAGA